CCCTTAGTTTACATTTTTTGTGCAGCCCAGTATTCTGAAATGAAAAAAAAATTCTTATGCCAATTCATAGTTTTCAGAATTTTAAATGGTAAATTTAAAAGTGGGAATAATGCTTTCCTTTTTTTTGTGTATTCTTAATATAATGGCCATATTTGTATTTTGCATTTTCTTCTTGCAGATGTTATGCAAACTATAACTGCTTCTGTGCTCTCTTCCTGCAATATGGTGAGCTGGTGTTTTTATATTTAGTTCTGCCTATAAGGCATAAAATACCATAGAGAGGTACACTGGATTGACAGCACGTCACTGTATTGGACAGAAAGTACCACAGAGTTAGCTAGTTAACAAAAGGTCAAGGTTTCTATTTTCCTAAAAACCTGAGCATAAGCGAAGATGTAGCTGCAAAACTTCAACAAGAAGAACTAGAAAACTTAAAGTATTAGTAACTATTATGGTCATTTTCTAGAGTAACAGTAGGATAACTCCTACTGCTATGCCGTGCTTTATGGTGCTTGCAGTGCACCTATGCTTTAATGGACAGTTACGTTTGTTTGGTAACTATGTCCTCAATAACAAAACTGTCTCTTTAGTTTCTTCTCCTTCCGTGAATTAAGTCTATTTGCTCATCTCGTCTAAATTATATTGGTGCCTTCAACTGTTAATTGCAGAAGAGCTTATAGCTAGAGATGTCATTTACCCTATCAAAACGTTTGTTTTTGTTCTTTTAGGTTTTATTTTTTGTTTTGTTTTTTGTTTTTCCAAAGTCTACTTAGAAACTGGTATGACATTTTTGGTTCTGTAATCTGCAGTGCTGCATTATCCTCCTGTACCTTTGAAAAAACGGTCAAGCATTTCCATGCTCACACCAATTCACACTATTCAACACCTGGATCTAGAATATTTGTGGAATTGCAGGACAGACTTTCTGATGAAATTATACAATATGTCAATGTGAAGAAGACTATCTTCTAAATTTAGGGTTTTAGTGGCATATTCTGCTTCATGATATGTTGGAGAAAACATACTGAACCAAGCTTCAGCTTATAGTATTTTGAGTTTAGATGAGTCACTGTTTTCTACTTGTAAAAACTCTGTTGGAAAAATCTTTTTGAATGGAGCATAGTAAACACTACGCTGTTGGTTTTTCCTTTCTGTGCCCAAAAGTATGTTTTAATATGGCATCATGGGTGCCCCTGGATTCGCAAAGATAATATTTTTTTCCTGGAGTGCCTCAGGTGTATATTGCTGTAAAGTACAGTTAGTTAATGGTGACCCATTCTATGCCGTTATATAATTATTTTGAAGAATCATTAAACTGACATGAAAGAGGATACAGAGCCGTTTTATTTGTTGTAAGTAGAATTTAATAAGTTACTGTGTGGTCTGATTGATCAGAGTTTTAAATATTTTAACCCAAATGATATATTTGTGAAAATTAAAAAAAAAAAAAAAATAATTGACTATTTTGGTCATTTCAGAATGAGGTGTTTTTACTTACATTTTTTTTTGTCCACACACTATCATGTGGTTGTATATTTGCAATGGAGATACACGTAATCATACATAGAAAAACCTTTAAAACTGTAGGCGTAGTAGGTAGTGATGTCACTTCCAAACAATTCTCTTCCCCCCCTCCCCCCTTTTCTTTTTCCACCAATAAAACTGATGTTACTAATGTAATGTTCTCATTTGTACAACCTATTGCCTGTTTTTAAATAAAGCAACAATGAAGTGGGTGGTTTGCAAATATTAGGCTAATTACTGAAGTTGAAACTTTTTTTTTCACCTAAAATTTAAGATTATATTAGCTTTAGTGTACTAATAATCTTAATTTTAGTAATGACAGGAGGCGAATATTTGCATGACTTTCTTTACTGAAAACTCCAGCAGCATAGAAACAATACCAATCAGAAAAGGTTATGATGCCCATAAAAGGCCTTGTCTATGACATCACTTCCTCTTTCTTTGAAGCAAAAACAACCATAAATAACGTAATCATATTAAAATCCAACAGATCAATAACACAAAGTTTCAATCCCCAGTAGATCCGTGATGTAGGGGTATGGAAGATGAATCTTTGTCTTGTTAAGAAGACGTTCACACTGAAAGAAAAGAAAAATGGTGAAAGGTCTCTGGTGTGGCAAGTTGTCCGCATATAATAAACATTAAGAATCTGACATAACAATGGATGCCTGAATGGATAAATAATACATATTAATTCTAAACTTCTGTTATTTAATATATAGAACACTCTAAGGTACATGTCTAATTATTCAACCCTATACAATCCTCTCAAGGTACATGTCTAAGTTTTTAACCATACAACCATATATACTGATACATGTCTTCCTGAACATAAAGGATGTATTCTATTCAACCTGATTAAGATATGGGAGGGATCCTACAGGGTGGGAAATATTCGCCTCCTGTCATTACTAAAATTTAAGAAAAGGGTTAATGCTGTTCTGGACTCAACTCCCCTCGATTCTCCGGTCACCACATCAATTGACGGGAGTTCTTGTTTAGCAAATTAAGACACAGACACGAAAGAGTGCTTAACAAGTTCTCAGTGAGTATATTTTCAGGGCTAGCATTTATACACAGTTTGTCACGCAAGCAGCGAGATTTATCGTTTCCTTGTAGTTAATAGTACATACTTGTCTTACATTAAAAGATAAGCATTTGAATAAAGACGGGACAGGAACATCCTGAGGTCGAGCGAGGTCATACATCCTGTAGAAGGGAGGCCTCTCAAAGCATGTTACAGAATACATCTGCCAAGGTCAGCATAATTATTTCAAACATTATTTTAAAGCATATAAAACAAAGAGTTAACTCTTTCATATCCTTAAAATTAAGATTATTAGTACACTAAAGCTAATGTAATCTTCGATTTATCCACATGACAGGAGGCTTCATATTTGCATTTTTAAAGCTTAGAATTAACCAATGCCAAGGAAGCATGAGATGTTTGACGAAAATAAAACGTCCGAAACGTACTCTCTCGCGACCAATCAGCGCAGTGCATAATGTCTGCTAACGAGTCGCCTGCCGATAAAGCTTGCGAGGCTGCCGCACCTCTGACCGAGTGTGCCCCGAAGCAAGGTTCAACGCCAGCTAACGATAATAGCCAGCGGACCCATCTAGCCAGCGTCGTCGTAGACACCAGTCTGTGAGACTTTACGTAAGAAATCAGGAGCTGACCCACCGAAGTAGTTCGGAGGGGAGCTGAGATTTCGGAATATCTCATTAGTGTCCTGACTACACATAGTTTGGGGTCTGACCGAAAGTATGGGTATGACACTGAAGATGAATCTGACTTAGTCTGTCTTGATATGGAAAAGGTAACTCCTTCCGGTGTGAGAGAGAAACCATCCACATCGAATGCTCTAACATCTGCCACCCGTCGAAAAGAGACGAGGCATAACAAGAGGGTTAGTTTGGCTGAAAGTTGTTTCAGCGACAGATAGGGATTGTCCGGCCATTCCCTAAGGAATTTCAGCACTACATCCACCTGCCAGAGGCGTGAATATTTGGGTGCCGGAGGCCTTGTTAATTTAGCACCTCGCAGTAGTCGACAAACCAGGGGATCTTGACCCACTGGGCTGCCTTGTACCGAAACGTGTGCTGCCGATATGGCTGATCTGATCACATTGAGGGATCGATATGATCGACCCAAAGAGAACAGATGAGAAAGGTAGTTAAGGATTAGGGGGACAGGGGCAGTAAAGGGTTCGGAGCCCCTTTCCACACACCAATTAGACCAGGCGGAAATATAGCATTTCCTGGTGCCGGGAGCCCATGAGTCCCATAGGAGGTCTTTAGTTGATTGTGATAGGCCGAGGAATGACCAGGATCCCCTGAAATCGTCCAGGCCACTAACTCCAGTTGTCCTTCGAGAACGAGGTTGTGGGCTTCCCCTCGAGGTCCTGTCAGAAGTAGAGGGAAGGTCGGTAGTAGTAGTGGGGTTTCGCAAGACATCTCCAGAAGATCCGGAAACCATGGTTGACTCCGCCACAGGGGTGTTATGAGAAGTAGCGATATCATGTGGTTGCGTGTATATCAAAGTACCCATGGAATCATGGAAAACGGTGGGAACGCATATGCCCCTTGTGTGGGCCAGGTTTGTAGAGATGCGTCCGCAGCTTCGCCTTTCGGATCCGGAAGCCAACTGTAATATCTCGGTAGTTGGTGATTGGTCCTGGAGGCGAACAGATCTTTCCACCATCGTAGTTCCTGGAATATCTCTTTGTTGAGTTTCCAATCGCTGTTGTCTCGCCAGTGACGCGAGAACCAGTCCACAGTCAGATTGGAGATTCCCGGCAGATATTCCGCCTGTAGCGTGATGTTCCGTGCTAGGCAAAATCTGTAGATGTCTTTTTGTGGCTTCTGTCAGAGCTCGTGATCTGGCTCCGCCCAGACGGTTGATGTACATGCGGAGCAGAATGCAGCAGTTCGACCTGTCTTTGGCCAGGCTGCGGATGGCGAAGGACACCGCGATCAGTTCCAGGCAGTTGATGTTTAGGTCCGTCTCCTCCCCTTGCCATGGCCCTCCCATGGAGGCGTCTGTGCAGTGGGCGCCCCATCCCCATAAGCTGGCGTCTGACTCCACGATGAAATCCGGGGAAGAGCCAAAGATCGCCTTGCCATTCCAGGCTTGTATGTGAAGTAACCACCATCGAAGTTCCGTTCTCACTTCTGCCGACAGTGGGATCCAGTGGTGGTATGAATGTCCGGTGCGTAGATATCACGCCTTTAGCTGTTGCATGGCCCTGTAGTGTAACGGGCCCGGGAATATCGCTTGTATGGAGGAGGAGAGGAGTCCCTCAATCCGGCCGAGCATTCTGAGCGGTATCGTATCCATCCTCAGTACTCGTCTGATTTCCTTCCGTATCGAGGCTATCTTTGCCGTAGGTAGCCGTATAACGCAGTCCTTCGAGTCGATGTCGAAGCCGAGGAATTGGACCGACTGGGAGGGAGAAAGAGAGACGATTTTTGTCTGTTCACTACAAAACCCAAAGATTCCAGAAAGTGAATGACAAATTTTGTCTGGAAGCGGATTCGCAACAGATCAGCAAATCGTCCAGGTATACGAGACATTGTATGCCCAATGTTCGGATGTGTGCCATCACCGGTCTCAGCAGCCTCATGAAGCACTGAACTGAGGCCGAATGGCAGACATGTAAACTGGCATATTTGTCCTCTCCATCGGAAGCAAAGAAAGAGCCGGTAGTTTACGTCCACTGGTACTGACAGGTACGCGTCTTTGAGATCCAGACGCGTAAACCAGTCGTTTTTGATGAGACGGTCTTGCAGAAGATGGATTCCCTCCATCTTGAAATGTCTGTATATTATGTATGAATTCAACTTCCGGAGGTTGATAACTGGTCTGTAGTCGCCTGTTTTCTTCTTGACCAGGAAGATGTTGCTTAGGAATCCTCCCCTTCCTGGTGCGTATTGTATCGCGCCTTTTTCGAAGAGTGTGTGGATCTCCTCGTCCACCAGGCGTTCTTGTTCCGCTGACATACGTATTGGAGGTGGGGGGGGGGCAATTTGTATGGCTCGTGAGTAAAACTCTATGACGAAGCCTTGTACTGTCTGGAGGACCCAGGCGTCTTTGGTAATTAGCTCCCAGTTCTGTAAGAAAAAGGACAGACTGCCTGCTACAAAATTGGAAACCGTTTGGTATGTAGGTAAACTCACCATTAGAGAAACGGCGTGTCCTCGACCTCTGAAGCCTCTAGCTCTCCCTGCCACTCTGTACGATGAGGGCCTTTGTGTTGTAGACGGGAAGAAGCTTGGAGCTTGCGGGTACGATCTGGAACCTGTCGCCCAAAAGCGGCTGGTGGCTCGGTTCCACTGCCGACCAGACCTCCCAAAAACACACCTTCCTGTGGGGGTGTGGAAAACCTGCTTGAGTGAGGTTTGGACCTTATTCAAGGTGGTGAATAGGTTTACGTGTTTTTTTAAGCTCTGCGATGAAAGCGTTGTCAAATAATAGTCATTGTGCCTTCGGGCTGAATTCCTTTGCCCCTAGATCCAGGAGCTTGTTGTCTATGTGGATCAGTGCCGACTTGCGTCTTTCGGTGCACAATACGGCATTAGCGTTGCCCAGAAGGCATATTAATCGTTGAGCCCATTCTCGTATGATGTTAGGATTGAGTTGAGAGCCCTGACTGAGTGCTAAATCTGCAAATTAGAGCATCTTAGCGATGGGGCCGAGTAAATCTAGCACTTTGTCTTGTGCTGCCTTAATGCCTTTTTCCACACCATTTCGAGGGTCTCGCCCCGAACGTGACATAAAGACCACCGCCGTGTTGTCAAACTCGGGTGTAAGTGCTACTTTGTCAGGTAGCAGTGGTCTGGGGAATTCGGCCTTGAGGCGTGCCCGCACCTCTTTTTCCAGAGGTTTGCGCAGCCAATAATGCAAGAACCACGTTAGATGGTCCGGGAGCTTCCACTCTGAGGATCGTGGGTGTCGGATGTTACGGGGTCAAAGAGTGGGTTCCCTTGATCGTCCATGAACGTTCCATCCTCGGCCATTACGGTGTTGGTGTCACTGGGACTCTCTCTGTCCCGGTCGTCGCCGCCAAGTATGGTCTCTCTGACGTATCTCGAGGAGGTGGGGGGCAGGTCTTGCCACTCTTCCTCCTCCAAAGGTGAACCGTCCTCCTGCCATTTGTCTACAATGTCCAAGGTACGTGGTGGATAATAATCTTCCTCGTCGGAGGATTGTAGTGGACGGGGTTTGGGCTGTCGCTCTTCCGTGCACTTGATCCGTTTAACGGATACCTTGTCTTTGGCTATAGTGGAAGGGGGTCTAGAGCCCTTCCGTTGTCGTTTTGCTTTGGAGCCGGAGGTTTCCATCAATTCCGAGGGGCTCGCGTCGCCCTGGCTTTGGGGTAGAGCCCTCAAGAGAGCTTTTTCTACTGAGGCCGCTACTGCGGCATTTATCATTGCCTGAAAGTCTTGACTGGTTTGCGTGTCTTCCATGACTCAATGTATTCTCGTCCTGTTGGGCGATAAAAGGAGTCAGTGGGGTAGAGGTGAAGGGTCAATACATAGGGGGCCAGACTCCTGGTACAACTGGGGGTCGCCCAGATTAGTGAATCGCATATAAATAGAGACTTGGAGTGTATGGCTCTGGTGTCTTAATAGGGACACCTGTACTGAGCAGTCTGGTATGTGTCAGTGGTAGTGGTGAGTTTGGGTTCACCACAGTTGTACACCAGAGCTGTATGCACAGATCGTTATCAATCAGAGATAATATCTATGTTGAGAGGTGTAAGCCCACGTGCGTGTGATTGGAGTTCACCCCAGGTGGTGTGCCATGGTAACCCAGAGGACACCCGCGTAATATTTAATGGTCTGCGAAAGACCTTGCATGCATATCTGGGGGGTCACCACAGGTGGTGGTGTAACCACAGGTGGTTCCCTTATGTACCACTATAATGTCTTAAAGCATAGAACTTAGTAGGGCTAACCATACAGATATCTTAGCCATAATTTTATATAGTTAGTAAGAGATCCTCTATTTACCATATATAAATAACTGAGAATACAATATAAAATAAGGATTGTCTTGGAAGCAAGATTGTCTTTTGGATATTTATTATATAAAAATATAAATATAAAATCCATTATAGCAGCGTTTATAAGATTAAACTACATGCTTGCAAATATCATTAATAGGTCATCATGTCAGCTTCTCTGTCATTTTAAGATGGAGCAGCGTCTGTCTCCAAGTCTCTCCTTTGTGTCTTAACATTTAAAAGTACACCTATTTATACCTTAGGTGTCTCCATTTTAGGTTACTGTAGTTCAAATATGAAAAAGTAACACTTCTTTTACTTTATTCAATTTAGGACCTCCCTTAATTTGGCAAACATACAAGGCCATAACTAAAGGGTGTATACGTCATGGAAATTTTCCTGACTTAGTTCAAGATGGCATCTTAAAGTCTGAATAGGTTATCTGTTGTTTATACTAAGTCGTAAGTGTACAGTCGTGGGAGATTCCCGGATTTGGGGAAGTTCCATTAACTTGGGGTTACCACGGTATATTGTGTACTGCAAGTGTCGTAGTATAGCCTTGAAGCTTGTTTATGCATTATTGTTATTGTAATTCGTCTGGGACAAAATGGCGCAAACATATTATGCACTGAGGTTATTGCTTAACCCCTTAAGGACTGGACTGTTTTTGCGATGTTGTACATTTGCGACCAGGCATATTTTTACACTTTTGTGGTGTTTGTGTTTGGCTGGAATTTTCCGCTTTCTCATTTACTGTTCCCATACAAATTATATATTGTTTTTTTCAGGACAAAAGGGGCTTTCTTTACATACCATTATTTATATAATCTCATGTATTTTAATTTTAAAAAAATAAAAAAATATGATGAAAAATTGAAAAAAATACATGTTTTTTGACTTTTACTTGAAAAATCTTTTACTCATCTACAAAAGCGAATTAAAAAAACTGCTAAATAGATTAAACATTTTGTCCTGAGTTTAAAAATACCCCGTGTTTACATGCTTTTTTGCTTTTTTTTGCATGTTATAGGGCTATAGGTACAAGTAGAATATTGCGGTTTCAAAACATAAATTTTTTTAATTTATCAATAGTGACATTGTAACACTATTATCTGTCATAAATCTCTGAATAACACCCCACATGTACATATTTTTTTTAAAGTAGACAACCCAGGGTATTCAATATGGGGTATGTCCAGTCTTTTTTAGTAGCCACTTAGTCGAAAACACTGGCCAAAGTAAGAATTCATATTTGTTTGTGTGTGAAAAAAGTAAAAAAACTAAATTGAACGCTAATTTTGGCCAGTGTTTGTGACCAAGTGGTTACTAAAAAGACTGGACATACCCCATTTGCAATACCTTGGGTTGTCTTCTTTTGCAAATGGTATGCCATCATGGGGGTAATTCTCATTCCTGGGCTACCATACGCTCTCAAAGGCAACGTAACCAACCTGGCCATTTTCAATGTAAAAATATTTGACCCATATATTTGACCTTGTAACTTTCAAAAATACTATAAAACCTGTACATGGGGGGTACTGTTTTACTCAGGAGACTTTGCTGAACACAAATATTAGTGTTTAAAAACTGGAAAACGTATCACAACAATATCATCAGTAAAAGTGCTGTTTGTGTGTGAAAAATGCAAAAAAAGTCACTTTCACTGACAATATCATCGCTGTGATATGTTTTACTGTTTTGAATCACTAATATTTGTGTTCAGCGAAGTCTCACGAGTAAAACAGTACCCCCCATGTACAGGTTTTAGGGTGTCATAGAACGTTACAGGGTAAAATACAGTGCTAGCAAATTCAATTCTCTGGAATTTCGGCCTGGGTTGGCAGGCAGGTCCCTTAAATTGCAATCAATAAAATTACTGAATTATGTAAAACTATTACATAAATACGCACGTAGAATTTAAATATATATGCATATTTATATATTTGAAGTCTACGTGTATATTTATATAATTATTTATGTCATTTTGTATATGGACATATGTATATTTCTTATTATTTTTATTTATTTTTATATACATAGATATATACAAATTCATTCTAAGTGTATTTTGATATAAATATATATATATTAATTTTAAAATACAGTTAGAATAAAATTTCATATAGCTATATAATTTTTTTTAAATTTTTTATTATTATTTTAAAATTTTTTTATTTAATTTAAATTACTTATTATTTATATTTTATAATAATATATATATACAATATATATAGTTATTATATATATTATATATATACGTGTGTAATTTAATTATAAGTGTATTTTTATATTAATATAAGTACATATTAATATAAAAATACACTTAGTATGGCATTATATAGATGATATATAGACATATATTATATAGATATATTATATGTCTATATATCATATATACACCTATATAATTATTATTATTTTTTTTATTACCATTAACTTTATTTTTATTTTTGATTTTACACTAGCAGGGAGACTGCCTGTCAGCACAGACAGTCCCCCTGCAGGCAGACACATGGACACCTATTGTGACCATGTGATCGCTGTGTTAAGCGATCACATGGCCACAGGGGTCCTAATTCAGTGTGGGGAGACTGTCTGGGCTGCAGGCAGTCTCCCCACAACCGGAGCAACGCTGATCGCCGCCGGGGGAACGACGGCGATCAGGTAAGTAACCCAGACCGTTAGGACGGTTCAGGACCGTCATCGGTCCTCAAGGCAAAAATGCCGATGACGGTCCTGAACCGTCCTCGGTCGCTAAGGGGTTAAAGAAACATCTATGAAAAACAATATGTTCCATTTCTAACACCTTGTCAGTTTGCAATATCTCTTAAAGACAAAGAACACAGTTTAAGAAATACAACATTTCATTCTAAAACTTGTGATATTTGTATTTGCCCGTAACAGTGTACCATGAAAAAATACCCAGAGGACATCCACATTAATTTTGCACATTTAGGTACAGTAAATTAGTATGACCCTGTGCAGGGTACAACAGTGCACTCAGTCTCCTTTAATGTTAGCATGCTTTATATCTCCATCATGGCATGGGAAACAGTGTGAATACATGAGACTGGCAGTTCAAAGTAATATTCCAATTTAACCAAATGAGGCTGATTGAGCCATGTGGCAAGGCATATATAAACAAAACAACTGAAGTTACAGCCGTCCCAGCACCTGGGAGAAAAATCCTTGTTTGGGGCTTGGACTCTGCTGAACGTGCCGATCGGGTGAATCCCGATCCGCAGAGCGAGCAGGGAAGGCGGCCGTCGTGTATCTTGCGAGCCGCGAGATCCAAGATGGCCACCGCTCGCACCCGAAGTGCGCAACGGACTCGCAGTTGCGGGTCCATAGCGCGAAGAGAAACAAGACACTGACCCGGCCTCCCTCCACCCGTCCCCACACAGTTCCCGCAAATCTATGAGGCGGGTCCGCAAAGTGAGCGCAGCATGGGCAGCCGTGACGCCCACGGACCGCAACAGTAATCAGTGCAATATCAAGAAACTGTGAGAGGTAAAAAAACAAGTATAGGAGGGAATGGGACAGGTATAAGAGGGCCAGGAGAAATAGAGCTAAAATAAAGACAAAATAATTATCGTGTAATCAATGTAACATCTAGGTTATACCAGAGAGGCAAAATACTCTGACCTTTGTAGGCTGGAGCAGCAAAGAAAGAGGAAGTGATGTCATAGACAGGGCCTTTTATGGGCATCATAACTTTTTCTGATTGGTTATGTTTCTATGCTGCTGGAGTTTTCAGTAAAGAAAGTTATGCAAATATGAAGCCTTCTGTCATGTGTTAAAATTTGTAGCTGCCTTGTCAATTTTCAACAGATTCCCATTTACCAACTAAAAAGTATTTCAAATTTTTTAAATTTGTCTCAGATTTTATTTGGTAATTGCTATTTCTTGCCCCTAGGCTACTGATTAATATGCTATTTTAAGTACTGTCATTTTTATGCTTGGTATTAAAATAATTGCTGCCAAGAACAAAGCTTATTATTCCACAATGTTTATGCAATGCCTTTCAAACAGAACATTTTTTTACAGCACTGTACCAACACTTACTGCAAATGTAGAGCTATAAAACTTTATTTTTCTTTAATACACAACAGGTAACAAACATTTCTTTATTTTTAATGATACTTGCACCTGAAGTCCACCATATTGTCTGCATTTTTAATCCAAATATATAGCTTCCAAAAAAAACCAAAACCTCCATGGTAAACTCACTAATATGTTAGTCAAGATTTAAAGTTACAAGGGTATCAAAATGGTAAACAGTGTTGTAAGTAGACCAAAACAAGTAACAAGATATAATCTTGTGATTATTGAATGGAGCGCTAAAAGTATATTAAATGCGATGAGTGCTTACCCTAATACATGGGTATAAAGATCTTGATGCAGTAAAACATGAAGAGCTGAAAACAAAACACTAGTGCAGATGGTTTTTCACAAAGTGCAAAAAATAGGAGGTTAAACTTACAATAGTCATTGTGAAAGATAAGGCTCTGCATTAATGCTGGTATAGGCAGCACCCCACTTCCACCCAATAATTACAATATTATATCTTGTTCATTGTTTTTGTCTGTTTACTGAAAGGGTGAGGGACGGAATGTATTCCCTCACGGGTGTTTGAAAGTTGCTATGTTCTTTCACAAATTTACTTTGAAGCGCTTTATCACAATAACTGGTTGAGTTATTCTAGTGTTGTAAGTACATGAATCATTTGTAAGAATGCACATTTTGGCATTTGATGTTAAATTACCATATGTTGCCATGGAAGAAAGAAAAACATTAAATTGTTTCATCAAGTGTATATTAAACTTTTGACTTATGCAAACATTTGTTTCAGCCAGTTAAAATTCCTTTTAATCCACACTCACACTAATTGATCCATCCATGATGTACCTGTGCTGTCATATTCATAAGTAAATCACAGGGGGAAAACAATTGATAGATTTTGGCCTC